CACCCTCGGTATATGGGGCTGGCGCCCTACTCACTGAGCCACAGGTGCCACCCTCTCCCATTATATTTGGATATACGTTTAAGCCCTATGTTTAGTTTCCAAGCCTCTTTGGTAAAAGAAGAATCAATCAAGAAAAATAACTCAATAATCTGATGTATTTAAATTGAGGGAAACTTAAATTTAGCCCCGGTAATGTTAAAAAATGTTTATTTGGGAGATTCTTTGGAACATCTATGAAACGATGAAGGGATGCCATTGCCCAGTTGAAACTTGAATGAAAATACATATGAATTCGCATCTCAAATTCTTGTGTAAAGATATATTCGTAATCTTTCAGCTATTGAAAGAAATGGAAGGAGAGATGGGCTGGTTAGTCTTTCCCTGGGTCTCTCGGATGGGGTCTGAGATGAGTTGAGTTTGCATTTAAGTAACTTTCTCAGCCATCATTCCATCTGCAGAACTCCCACACGCCCATCCACTTAGAGTGCACTTTCTTTTGTGTTAATGCAAAAGGAACCAATTTACAATCACTCACACATGCATATGAAAAATAAAACACAACTATAGCCTAGAATGAAGGAGGGAAGGGCAGGGAGAGGGGAAGGGAGGGGGGTGGGTCGATAGAGAGGGTGTTAGTAGGGGACCACACCTATGGAGCATATTGCAATACAAGTTGGATCTATCAGGTGTAGAACACAAATGTCTTAATGCTGTGATTGGGTAAATGAGGTGAAGGCTGTGTTGATTAGTAGGATGTGAGCACTCCAATCTGTACAAATAATCAACACATTGAATCTCATAATCTCATAAATGTATTTATGATCTATGTACAAATGACTTAATAAAAAATAACAGAAAAATTAAAAACAAACAAAAACAAAAGGCTTACGTTGTCCGTGAAAACAACTCCTAGTTTCCACATCTGATACTTCACATCAATAGAGTTCAGTCTGGAATGACAAAAAAAGAAGAACATGCAGATACATGGATTAGGGAAAGACTTACATTGGTGCTTTACTTTTATTCCAGAAATTCAGCTGATCAAATTTGTTAAATAATATATGTTTCTGTATGTGTGCATATATATGTGCACACACACACACACATATCTATATGTCACTATGAATCTTTTGTGCATCATTTCACTTCCCAAAAGGACAGTGGACAGCGTCCTTTTTGATTCACCTGTGCAGGTTTCAACTTGCTTGACTTATTGGTGTTGCTGAGAGGGCTTCATCTCAAAACTTGTATAAAGACCCAAGTACATCTACTCACACTAGACCTATACATGTGTGTGAGAGTGTGTGTGACAGTCAGCCTCGGGTGGAGTCAATCCAACTCTTTTACATTTTTCTACGTACATGTATAACATATTACGCTGTGAAAGCCCTATATAAATAACGCTTCATTTCGAAGTAAACTTTACATGCGATAGCATGAAGGTATAGTATTTTGGGCATGCTATGTCTTTACTATTTTTTTTTTCTTTTTGTAGTGCTTGGCCAGGGCTGGGTTTGAACCTGCTACCTCCAGTATATGGGGCCGGCGCCCTACTCCTTTGAGCCACAGGTGCTGCCCCTATGTCTTTACTATTTAAAAAAAATACAAAAACTATAATGAAAAGGTATGAATTTTGAACATTTTTGATAACAGAGCCACACAGTTCACTTCTCCAAAACTTAAGAAAATTAACTTCTTTTCACACAGGGAGCATCAGAAGACACTGTAATATATTGTGCTCTGGCATGTGTTTGACTTAAGGGGTATTTAAGAATAGAAAGGCAGATCAGTAACATGAATATTCCTTCCCTTCTCTTCACCTATATAGATAACAAAAAAGCTACCTTCAAAAAGTTCAATTGGGCTCTGCGCCTGTAGCTCAGAGACTAAGGCGCCAGCCACATATACTGGAGCTGGCGGGTTTGAATCTAGCCTGGGCCTGCCAAACAACAATGACAACTATAACAAAAAAAATAGCCAGGAGTTGTGGCAGAAGCCTGTAGTCCCAGCTACTTAGGAGGCTGAGGCAAGAGAATCACTTAAGCCCAAGATTTGAGGTTGCTGTGAGCTGTGATGCTACAGCACTCTATTGCAGGCGACAGCTTAAGACACTGTCTCAAAAAAAAAAAAAAAAGAAAGAAAAAGTTCAATCATAGCACCAAATACCAGAAGCATAAAAAGTAGACTTTTTATACTTTCTCTGTTTCCTCATCTATTCTGTCTAATCCTCTGACATTGAAGGAAAGGGAGTTCAAGTTCAAAAATGCATTAATTTTTTCTGCTTTCCACCTAGCGCTGTAGGGTAGGGCAGAAGGGACACTCACACAGCCGATAAGGAGCTGTCTTTCTTTGGCTTCTTCTTTTCCCGGGCATCACTGAAGTCAAGGGCAGCTTTGTCCATGCCAAGTAACTCACTGATCCTGTCTCGGCCATAGAACTCTCCGTATTTATCCATTACCTGAGAGTCAAGAGAAGAAGCATTTTGTTGATTTCAACCCTTAAGTAACAACATCTATGTATGTGTGTATAACCGTTCAATTATTTTTATGCTTACTGTATCCAGTATTTACTCTATTTGAAAGATCACACGCGAATCTATTTTATGGGTCATAGTCGGTGATCACACCACTTAAGGTCTAAACAAACTGATAGCTCTTTATAGTATGACACCAATCTGAAGACGAGATTTCTCATTCAAGAGAGGGCGATACACACAGCACACAAGGGAGCCAATCAGCTGAAGCATAAGAAATGGAAGGACAGTGGCCTTCACGAAATGCACATATTATGCTGGGAATTACGCTTCATTCCATGTGATAGTCCCAACATGTAAGTTTCATACTGTTACCATCCCCTTCTTCAGAGAAACTGT